GAACGAGGTTTTTTTTTTGGCGAGTAGGTATATTGTGGATTCCGTTTCCTTAAGGCAGCAATGGATCGTAAAACTGAAAGTTGAACAGTAAGCCTGGAGATAAATCAAGATCAAGAATCAATATTTAGACAAGTGTTGTCTATTATGGCTTATTAGGACACAAATGAACCGCATCACCAAGAGTGATTCAGAAACCAACTATTTGACCTAAAAAGATCAAGTGTCCTGGCCACTAAACTAATGTGTAGACATACGGACAAACATGTGTAAAGATACTTATTCTATATGCGAAAGGAATAGGCAGAGAGGTGGTCCACACCAGATCCTTCTTACCCGTATGATCCGATATCTAAATTATATTGAATTGTCTACAAGCTGCTCCCCCCCCCCTCCTTAAAACTGCGAGCAACAACCACTTGGTGCAAATATAAAAATATTATCTAACAATAATCATATATTGGTCCGTTCAATTTGTTTGTCAATAGACTCCGAGGCAGGTGTCAAGTGCGCGTGTCGCTGCGAGTCGCCGTCGTGACGCAACAGAAACGCAACGATATTGCCCACCGAACATATTGTGCTATAGACTGTATTAAATTTAGAAATGGACGATCAGTAATTTTTAAAAATTTAAAGTTTAATGTGACATCTACTTAACTACTTACTACTACTCTACTTAATCTACTTAGACTTAGTCTACTTAATCCCTTCCGTATTATTACTATCTATATACAATGAAACCCATGTACTAACCTGAGAGAACAAACACTCATTTAATTTAAATTTTTTATACAAACAAATACCAAATGATGTCTTTTACTATATATCGACGCTTGAACGGCAAACGTGACTAAGCGACAAGACCTGCTTTGTACATAAATGATATGCAATAACAATATTCGATGCGCAAAAAAAAGCACATTTTTAGGTATATTTCAATCATTTCAAGCCTACAGCTACTAGCTAGGTTCTACTACAGCTAGATTCGTTAAAATATTTTTTTTTCAGGTATTTCAACTTTAAATTAGTCTACTGTAAAGTTCACGCATTGTCGCTTAGTCACGTTTGCCTTTCAAGCGTCGATATATATTTTAATAATAAAAAAATATTTCAACAAATACTATCATTAAAAATCATGAAGAATTTACCACATAGCTGGTCTAAAGCGATTACCGGAGCATTTGGACGTCTCGACGTGAAATCTTGAGACGTAAGCCAAAGTTTCCTTAAGCGCTCTCAACGCAGCCATAATTAGTACCAAATACGAAAGAATTCAGTAAGGATGCACACAGAATGTGATTAATCATTCCATAATACGTGAACTTAAACAACTCACTCTGGGCTTATGAACTAATTTAGATTATTTTCTATTTTCCTTTAACTACTCATGCTATCGAGTAAGCATTAAGTTGAAAGTTTAATACGACATCATAAATCATAGAAAAGGCATACTTTAAAAAAATATAAATATTAATTTCACTTCTAAAACTTCTATAACCAAATCTCTCTTCGCCAGACGCACAGTTTTCCTGATACGAGAAATTTCGTTTTAGAGAAGCTATTTGTGAAGGTCGCATCGTGGTTTTTATGATTGAGGTGAAGTGGCTACTGAAGTGTTTAAATGTAATGCAATACCACACAAATAAGAAGTTGAGTATAGTATTTTTTTTATTGCTTAGATGGGTGGACGAGCTCACAGCCCACCTGGCGTTAAGTGGTTACTGTAGTCCATGGACATCTACAACGTAAATGCGCCACCCACCTTGAGATATAAGTTCTAAGGTATCAGTATAGTTACAACGGCTGCCCCACCCTAAAAGTCGAAACGCATTACTGCTTCACGGTAGAAATAGGCGGGGAGGTAGTACCTACCCCGTGCGGACTGACGTGAGGTCCTACCACCAGTAGTATGTTTGAATATATTTACTACTGTATTATAATTTACTCGTATTGACTACCGTAAATCGCACTCACAGGTATCATCATGTCTATTTCTGACGCGAGACAGTCACGTGGCAATGCTGAAATAGCCTCTCAAGGCTATCAGCATAGGTAGGAAGAAAAACAAAAACGTGTGGCACTCGGGAACTGCCGCGGTAAAGCTATTGCATGGCATTTTTTATCATCTTATGCAATTATAATTAGACAATGATAATTTAATATTAAAACAATAATAAAACAAGACCACGCTATATTAAACATTAATAAAAGCAAAACATTAACTGTCCCCTTCACACTCATAAGCTAGACCGCGCGAGAGAGAGATGGGCAGACTTTTCATGATGTGCATGCAGTGTGACGTCACGCCACGCGCTTATTCAGAAACATTACACAAGCGCAACGTGTGAATGTGTTGAACGCGAGCTACATGGTAGGCGGAGTGAGGGGTGTTAGGTTTTTTTCGTTACGGAATTTCATGATTCGGTCGCCGCGCTCAAGTCCCGCGATAAAAGCTATGCAATAGCTTAAAAGATGGCAAAATACTGTTAAAGCCCTCTGCTCCACTTCGGGAACTTAGGACTTTAATGACGATGATGATCATGAAATTACATTTATTGTTTTATAAGTGAATTAGACAAAATCATTTTATTTATATTTATTCAGCTTCGTGATTAATGAGTAGAATTTATACGTTCAGCGACTATTTGAATGATAATATCGCGTGGGCTTGAAATTGTGCTCCACACAGCAACAATACAGAACTAATTTGTCGCGCTGCTGTGAACCGCGGAGACCTGTTTTGATTATACATATTCCTTTTGTTTCTTTTAATTTGACAAATGTAGCATATTCGATATAGATACCAAGTATTTTTTTTATTGCTTAGATGGGTGGACGAGCTCACAGCCCATCTGGTGTTAAGTGGTTACTGGAGCCCATAGACATCTACAACGTAAATGCGCCACCCACCTTGAGAAATAAGTTCTAAGGTCTCAGTATAGTTACAACGGCTGCCCTACCCTTCAAACCGAAACGCATTACTGCTTCACGGCAGAAATAGGCAGGGCGGTGGTACCTACCCCTAGTATCTTGGAAAAGACAAGCTCTAAGTTTCTTGCCGATTCTTCTCAGTCGTTAAAATGCATACCGTATCGGTGGTAAAGAATTTGAATGTGCTTAAGGAGTGGGTACTGGTATAAAAGCATTTTGATTTATATCCATCTCGATATGACACATACCGATTAAAAAGTCGATAGAAAAGTTGACGATATTTATTTTGTAAATACATTTTTACAAAAATTATATAAATATTTAGCCATACATATTATGATTAAAAACACCATACCCTTCTCCAGCAGGGATACTGAAGTGTTTAAAATGTGGGAAATCGTAAAATAAATGCGAGTTTAAACGCTAAAGTTGATTTAAAACTATATTTATTTAAATCGTATCGTAAATTTGAATATTACGGTTTTCTTGTCAAACCAGATCGAGAGCAGGATGACATTTAAACTTCTTTGCACTTCTTACATACCATCTTTGGCCATAATGGTTTTAAGTATATAAGTATAATACTAAGTTTCTCAACTGCGTTATGGAAGTTTCAAAGATATACGAGATTATAGCAAATACACTCAGATTTTGAATACTCGATACCTTTTAAATAAATAAATATTTACTAACAATCACGCCACGTTAACTGGTCCCGTGATAAGTTCGTAAAGAACTTGTGTTACAGGTACCAGATAACGGAAATAAATGTAAGATTTTTATTATACACATACATATATTTAATATACATCCATAACCCTGCAAAATACATTTATATTTATCATACAAATATCTTCCCTTGGCGGGATTCGAACCCGCGACCCCCTTGTGTAGTGACCATGTCACTTACCACTACACCAGACGGCCGTTAAAGAATTGCTGACCGTTCTATGGATTTCGTTTACGTAATCTTTTATTGAAATACAAGCAAGTATTGCATATTATGTTACAACAATGTATAAACTCGAATAATTCTAATAATAAACGAAGTGGAACCAAAGGAGTACAATTCGTAAACCAACAAACACGAGAACCAGACAGCAATGAGTCATATGAAACTGTTAGCCAGTTCATTTGTTACGATTTGTTCCGCACCCCTGTTGCGAACCAAGGTCGGAGGCTAAATCAATTAAAGTCACCATTATATATAGGTTCCGAAGTTAAACTGGTTTTAGCTGATATTTTAGATTGAACGATTCTCTTTTGGTATGGTTCAGGTGTTTTTTGCTGTCGAAAATTGAGAGAAAAGTAAAATTTCAACGTTCAAAAATAATTGTTAATTCAAAAATCGTTAGCAATATCATTAAAACTAATATCATATATTCATCATTGTCATCATCAGCCTGTATCTATATTATCATATCACACAACATATCACATATCGTCACAACTGTCATTAGCTTGGTAATGTATAAATGTAAAATCCCCAAAGCTAAAAAGTTTTACGCAATAGTATTTTCAACAGTAAATCCATGGTGATACGTCTATATCTAATTATTGAAGTGAATAAAGACATGAATTATCATCTCGTTTTATTTCATCATTAATACTATTTTTTAAGGGATTTTATGACCTGGTAACTAAGACCTTTAAGTCATGTCTCATTTTAATTTATATTCTTACTTTTACGAAAATGATAATATGAAGTGAAATGAAATGAAGATGGTTAATTTGAGACATTCATCAACTGGGATGAAGTGAAATGAAATGAGATGAGATGATATGGGATGACATATAATATCAGTAAAATGGTGATCGTTTACTGAGACTTTTTCAGTGGACTTTTTGGAGGATACCGAGAAGTTACGTTCAGCGGCTTTGTTTCATTTTCCCACATTTGTGCACTTTCACAGTTAATAAACCACCGTTATGCCACGTTTAAACCTGAAGAAACATTAATTAGACAAAATAAAACAAATAACACAACTTCACTTCTCGCGTTCCGGCCAAAAGTCCTCATTAATACTATTTTTTGTTTAGTGTTTACTCTTGTTAATACTTATTTTACTTACCAATAAAACAGTCCGCAGATGCAAACTGAGCCGCCTCATTCTGGTGGCCATCCGCGAATCACGTTCTGAAAATTAAATATTGACTATAAGCTTGTGAATAATATATAAACAGTTTTATACTTGGGCACGGAAAATTTATTTCGGCGAAGGCTTAATCTTCGACATTCATGATATTTTGTAACCACTTTTATTGATTTATTTATCGGAGATATGATCATCTGTGTACATTGGCATATGGAAGAACATATTGGGTCATCGCGGATAACAACCAACTTTTTGCCTAGGTCACTAAATTAATGTAACATTAGTTTGGCAACGCTAGGTGAGGCTGTCAGATTTTCGTCCTATGGTTATTAGCTAAAAGATTGAAAACCACAGATATTCATTGCTCTGACATACAAATTAACCACAGGGTTATAATTAATTTTTCAATTAAAATAATTTCATAAATATGAATGCGCCTTGCCCTAAATACAGACTAGTGTTCGCCCACGCACTGCATATATTAACTAAGTTACAATTTTCAATAATCGTTATCATAAATTACTAATTATTAAACATCAGACACGGTATTGATTAATAAGTTTTTTTTTGATTCATTCTTAATAATTCAGAAAATTATTAAAAAAATACCTAGCTGCTGTCAAAAATTCTGGAACATTTCTTGCATCCAAAACATAAATTGTAAAATTATGATTGTTATAATGATTGAATTAAATATCTTTTTTTAAATTATTTTTACGCCTTTATCTCGTATTTCGTAAAATTGTCGCATCTCGCGAAAACCGTGGAAAATACTATATTTTATGAATAAGTTTTTATATTTTAGGGTTTTTGTGCGAATCATTCTATCTAAATTTATTATTTATTATCTAAGTTTATTATTTAAGCATTATTTATTATCTAAGTTTACCGAAAGTAGCATTTAGTAGTATTATATTCTATGTATAAAGTGTCAGCTCCCCGACCTAGTTATTACAGAATAAGCAACCGTCCTTGGTAGGGCTGATTGTTTTGTAATCTGCTATTTAATATGAAGAGCACGTTGCGTTACGCGCACTCATCTATTGTACCATACGTGTTTTAAAAAACCTATGACTTAGGTTTGGTAGACACATTTTTATTGGTACAACTACAACATAAATGATGTGAGCTTAGGGGTACAAATTTTTTTATTTTTTTTATTGCTGGGTTGGTTGGACGAGCTTACAGCCCGCCTGGTGTTAAGTGATTACCGGAACCCATCGACATCTAAACCGTAAATGCGCCACCCACCTTGAGATATAAGTTCTAAGGTCTCAAGTATAGTTACACGCTTCATACATTGTCATGTCTCGTGTACCACTGTACGTATGTTGCCCAGTCAACTTGCACATTGTGTATGAATTGGTATGATAAGCAAACAGTCTGTAGATATTCTTTTTTTCGAAAACCGCTTTCATACGGATTCGTTTGTTAGCCATTTTTTCAAGGGATTCTTATTTAAATTAAAAAGGAGCTGTTCTTTGTAATTTGAGAATATCATACTGCTTTTGAAGAAGAAGAAGAAGATGAAGAAAATCTTTATTCGCCAGAAATATAGTTTACAAGATATTATGGATAGAGGACATAGTTTCATATATTTCGCCTGTTTAGGCATGCGAAAATTTAACTTATTTTTATATTAATTCTAACACAAAATTTACTAAATCTATCTATTTTTACATTCTATCACTATTTGTTTAAACGCGCTAATTTCAGGAACTACTGATCCGATTTCAAAACCTATCTAACATTAAATACTTTAATGTTAGATAGGTCATTTATTGAGGAAGGCTATATAACTATATAACATCAAGCTATATAACAAACATCACGCTACGACCAATACAAGCGGAACACCAATAAATAATATTTCCAAATCGGGGTGTTTTTCCCTTTTGAGAGCTTCCGCTGCGTGCGCCACGGAAACGGTTAAATTAAAGTTAATGAAAATATAACATTTTTGACTAATTCATCAACCAGCTGCCAGTTTTATAAACATTTTTATTTAACGGGTTCTAATCACAATTTTTACATGTAAAAAGGCCGCGATAGTTCGTCGAAAGCAAGTGAACTGAGTAAATGACTCGGATTACATTAAATGACATGAGTAAATGATAGGATTTGTTCTTCACGTAAAAACGAAAACAAGCCTTAACGCAGATTTGATGGACAATACAGATTGGGATCGAAATGGAACGCCGCCACGCCGTGATGAAGTAATCAGGATCCAAGTGACTCCAGATATGTAGTTGAACACGACAAAATTAGCAAATATATCTAGTTACATTGTTTTTAAATCATTTATCAAATATATTTATCACGCATTTCATAGATTTTTAAATTCAGAATGCCCTAATGCCCAGTTCTGGAATGCCGTAACATAATTTAGGTGCTTAATTTCAAAATGATTCCGTTTAAAATTCTTCATTATAATCATGTTTCTAAAATTAAAGTTTCAAAACGGGACATACGAAATCAAGAATGTTTCTTTAAGAAAACAACTGAAGAAATAAAATAAGCTATAATAAATAAATATCTTATACCTTTAAACGAGCAATTCTTGTATATATATATATATATATATATGACGGAGGAGAAACGCTGAAGGAATGTTTTTAAAAAGTGTGACGTCAGCATCGTTGACGTCACGGTCTTTAAGTTCTCGATGATGACTCATATTTGGGCTTCCAAAACAAAACTTCACGAGAACTGCGTATATTGCACGAGAAGCATAACAACGTTACAGAGAGATCCGTACTGTACTACGGCTCGGACACGAATGAATAAACGCTAGACAGCACGGCCGTATTTATAGGACTTCGTACACGTCAGCGTGTTTACAAGTATTAAACACGTGAGCGTGTTTACAAGATTTTAAAGTATTGAAATTACAATAAAAGGGACTGTTTAACATCAATTTCTTATCACAGAGTAATTAGTTGATGATCAGTAGGTAAATAGTCATATTTGCGCCGACATATATATAATCTGTATCTCGCAAACGACTCCAATGATTTTAATAAAATTTAGTATACAGGGGATTTCGGGGGCGATAAATCGATATAGCTACCATTTATTTTCAGAAAATGTTGTTTTATTCGTGTTTTCAATAATCAACTCTTCCCGCCGTCTATTGGCGAATAATAATACTATTTTTCTTAATTGCGGGCAACTAACCGCTTTAAAGATACAACAAGATGGCGTTATAAAAAAAAAAACCGGTTATCATCTAGTATAATATTAATAAAGAAAGAAAAAAATTACAAACTATACTGTATGATTTAAAATAATACCTAACTTAAGCTACTAATACATAAAATGTTAATTTACATTAAAATATTATATTATATAATTAATAAATGATACAATGTACGGATGTACTCAAAAATACATAAATATATTAACATGTTTATTAAAAATTATTTAATTAATTAAGGATTAAGGTGTGAATTAATCCTATTTATGACAACAATAAAAACCAAGGTACCAACACCAAGGTGACAACAATATGAACCTTATTTAAGACAGTGTGGTACTCGATTGTTTCCAAAAAAGTTTAGGTTTATATACGCTGCCTCATTCACACGATAATCACACTTTAATTACACTTTAACATCCGTTTGGTTACAATCCGTATTCATGTTGTAATTACGCAAATAAAAATTTGCTAATTACTTTGTCGGCTCAAAAATAAACATTTGTTCATTATTTAAATCAAGTACATAAGCGTTCGGATTCACCACGCTATAAAATGATTGATGGTGCCTTACACTGGTCCGCCACCACCACCGGCTTACCCCGTAATGACGGACTCCACAAACGTGTGTTATACATAAACAATTTATGGTTGTTCGCAAGAAATGTGACCTTAGTCTGATTTATATTTTAATAATTAACAATTACAAGAATGTTTATTGAAGCTTAAAACGTAGTATAGCGTCTTCGTAATATTTAGAGAAATATATATATTTTTTAAAATAAAAAGCGTGTAAATGCGAAGATATTTCATTTAGGTGAGAGTTCTAGTAAGAAGAATAGTGATAACATAAAAAAAATAACATTACAATATAACATTAAAAACTAAATATACTTAAAGTAAAACTAAAGTGAACATATAAAATCTCCCCAAAATATCAACCAGTCTTTATTCTCATTCATAATTTCGATAATACCCAATCTTTTAATTTCGGATCAAGGGAAAAACAGAGCTTTATCAAAAGTTTAACTTTGCACTTAGCTTCAATAACAAAGCTTCGAGATTATTAAAATACACAAAAAACGTATCGTTTGGTGTTCAGCTTTCACTTAATTACGAGGGAAACAGAATTTATGTAAAATACATCAATCGTATCAGTATCATAACTGTATCTTGCAACTTTTTTATGCAAGTTTGACAATAAAAACTACATCTATACAATAACAAAAAAAATTAAAACTCTATTAATGGAATTCGCATCGGATATGTATACTAAAAGTGAAACTTCAAAATAATAGGTGACATACCGAAAATTCCGAAAGACACTGGCACTCACAGATAAGAAAATAAAAAATAAAACAGCTAATCGATATTCAAAAATTCGTAAATAAGCCACGAAACAGGGGTCACAAGATATCGTATTATCGTAGGCGGAACGTCTTACGAACGAGCATGTCAGCGGTGTGTTAGAACGCGCGCAACCGCCTTTAAGTTACGTTAGACACTGACTAGTGACTACTGAAGTCCACAGTAAGCTGGCCGGCCAGTCGTGTGCTAATCGTAGACACACCTCGCATAATCAAGTGAGATATATACAGAGATGTTCTTAATCAGTGTGAAAATAATTAATATCAGTTTTTTTTTTAATTGTCTTTGTAGGCAGACGAGCATACGGCCCACCTGATGGTGAGTGGTTACCGTCGCCCATGGACTTCAGCAATGCCAAGGGCAGAGCCAAGCCGCTGCCTACCGCATTGTCGTCCTGTTGCACATACAGACACATACAGCGTTTTCCGAGTTGGCTTATGTTAATTTCCATATTAATACGGTTTGTAGCACCAATTCGAAGAGTCTAAGTTGAATAAGGTGTATAATATTTCCATATGTAATGAAATGAATTACAAATGTTCCATGCTAAAATGTAAAAATATATCTCATCGTACTTAAATTTTTAGGTTAAACAGAGTTCTATTACTAAAGATATTTGGCCGACGAACCAGCGAACAAACTTTTTATTATATCTGTATGCTTGTTATAAATAATAAATATATGCAGATGTCCAGTAGAGAAAAATAAGATTTTGCATAGAGATTCGATTCGAAACTTAGTAAAGCAGCGTACATACTAGAACCATCTTTTTAATTAGTACATAATTCATGTATATAAATTTAAATACATTGTTTTAATTTAAAAAAAATGCTATTAACGACACTCAGCCGAATTTAAAGTAGTCAATAATATTATTAAAAATATGAAAACTCGACACTCATAAAACATAATATTTGTCACACCAAAAAAAGCTTGTGTCACACCAAACGGCTCTGTATAATACAAAAGCTACACTGACATAGTCAACCCACTTACAAAGGTAAAGAAAGCAATACTTATTTTATCCTTAAACATCCCTCTAGTCCACGTGTTCTTCCTCACCCACTCTAACCGGCGCCATCTAGGCGGGCTTCGGACAGTCTGCCGACCGAGAGGGCTGGTGGTCGTGGCGCCGACGACCACCAGTCCGGCGTCCTGAGGGGGAGGGTGATGGGAGAGATGGGCTCCGCACAGAAAAAAAAAAAAAAAAAACCTGTTCTTCCTTGTAATGTAACTAATGCAATCGACATAAAGACATATTGACATTTTCAAATAAGTATAAGTAATAAGTAACATAAATATGCTACTGAGCACATATATACTTTTATTTACATTAAGATTTGCGCTTACGTTTCTATGCTATTCAAACACTGACACGTAATCCATGTAAATACTAAAACTAAATGCTAGTAAGTGTGAGTGTGGTTAGGCGTAATGTTCCTTAAAATTTGTATAACGATTTAGGGAAAACTAAATTGGAAAAGTGGCCTGGGAAATAAGGAAATTCAAAATGGCTTCAATTTCATTTTTTAATTAGGACTAGAGAGCCTCTTTGGGATTAGCTAGGGATTAGTTATTATAAGACAAACTGCCCGTTTTTTTAATAATAACTTTATTCTACTAATTTGTGCTAATGGCATATTTTTTTTATTGCGTAGATGGGTGGACGATCTCACGGCCCACCTGATGTTAAGTAGTTACCGGAGCCCATAGACATCTATAACGTAAATACCGCCACCCTCCTCGAGATATGAGTTCTAAGGTCTCAGTATAATTACAACGGCTGCCCCACCCTTCAAACCGAAACGCATTACTGCTTCACGGCAGAAATACGCAGGGTGGTGGTACCTACCCGTGCGGACTCACCAGGTCCTGCCACCAGTTAAAATTAATAGTTCAGTTAACTATTTTATTAGTCAAATATTGCCTGTAGAAACAACTTACGTCAATGTTAGTTTTTTATTATCCTGATTCAAGATTAAAATTGAGCATAGACCGTTATCTAATATATAAAATTCTCGTGTCACAATGTTCGTTCCCATACTCCTCCGAAGCCGCTTGACCGATTCTCATGAAATTTTTTACGCATATTCAGTAAGCCTGAGAATCGGCTACTATCTATTTTTCACACCCCTAAGTGATTAGGGTTGTCCACCCCTAACATATTTTTTTTTATTTGGACATTTTTTTTTGTTATGATGTTGTTGAATGAGGTTTTGTTATTTTTATTATATATTCCCTCATCGTTCACAGCACTACATACCTCTTTCACTCATTTACCACATCCTCACACACTTACAATAAGTTAGTTTTTTTTTCTACACTAGAAATTCCCTAGAAATCTTATATATGGCAAAACAATGTTTGCCGGGTCAGCTAGTATAACAATAAAATAAAACACCCGTGATTTCAACTTCGCATCAGACGAGAGGTTACGGGAACGTTGTAATTCCATCGTAGTTTTATTTCGTGGGTCCACTGCATTAGCGATCTTCACGTGCTTCCGTCTATTGCAACAACAACACGTTGTTGTAAAGTACACTTTGAAGCATGAACATGTTTCGGCATCGTTGTGAAAGTAAAATGATTCACATATGATTTAATCGGACTAATCGCGGTTGGTATTCAGATCGTGTTCGATGTTCTATGGGCAGATGTCGACGACTAAAGCGAAGCTAATAAAACTAGCCTTAAAAGGAATTAAATTGCTTTCCCTTTTTATTCAGATTCGCTAGTGACGCGTACGGAATTCTAAATTGTCATCTTTGCAACTTTTTTCGTGTCTGTGTCCAAATTTGAACGATTTTTAGTTTTTTTTTTGTGTGAATTTAGTTTTAAATAAATAAAAATAAAGGTTAACTTTTGTAGTCCTATTCTGTATATTATAAGTAAATAAATATACATTATTTTAAAAACACGACGTAGAAACCGTTAGTGAAATTATTATCTACGCTAAGACAGTGCTAATAATATTTAGTCTATACAATACTGTTATATTACAATTATAAATAATAAAATAAGAAAATATATCAAAAATGTTTTTCATAAATTTTCAATTTTGGTGTAATTTACGATACGTAATCATTAAATATGTAATTATCAAAAAATAAATAAGTTCATAATCCCTTACACAATTTTTGTATGTTTCATTTAATTCCACTAAATATTTTATTAAAATATGGATGATATGTACTAACTATCCTAAAATAAATTAAATCATGACATAAATTAGATTAGTTCAATGGAAACGTGCACAAGCGTACGACAAATGAAACAAGATTTAGCTTTATGTAACTCGCTCGTGGGAACCATCGGTACAATAGTTTTGCATAGATGTACCCCACCCACAAAGACGCACTTCCTTGACGACACACGACCTATTCAACTTAGACATTACTCATCTGGTCTAATTATTAAGCTGATTGCGATAACTAGTACCACAGCATAACAATGAATTTGTTTTACTGGTTCCTTTTAAAACAGTGTGCTTAGTGCAAGTTTTTTAACTTCTCGATCGCGTAAAAGTTAACTCAAATTTGTATGGAGTTCGAACAGCGCCCCTACGTTTGCCGCTAGGGGCGCTGTTCCATTTCAGTGTGCTTAGTGCGAGTTTTTTAACTCGATAGCGTAAAAGTTAAGTGAAATTTGTATGGAGTTGGAACATTTGCCTACGTTTTCCGCTAGGGGCGTTGTCCCAACTGCATAGAAATTCCAACTTTTGCGATATCGAGAACGTTAAAAAAACTCGCACTAAGCACACAGGAGTATTAAGCACTAGCTAACTTTGATTACCACCAATAGACATCAACAAGGTAAATGCAGCAACCGTTGAGACATAAGGTTTTTTTTTCGGGCCGGGGGCCGTACATTTTACGAGATCCCCTAGGGGGCGCGTGGGGTATGTGGGACTGGTCGGCGACTGCGAACCGCGGGCCCAAGGATGTTTTAGGACCCCACCGTACTAAACGGCTCCCGTACACTCTGACGCCGACGTCCGATCTCCGCCCGGGGTTCCCGTGGTCAACACTACAACCAGACTGGTGCCGCCCCTAGTACGCCCGACCGATGGGTCGTCGAGGCGATAGTCGGCGACCAGCGACGCTGGTCTCCGCGGTAAGGCGGCCCTACCAGGCGATACCGCTATTGTTCCGGGATACCCCGCTGGGTGAGACATAAGTTCTGAGTCAACTTTAATATCATTGTTTAAATATAACCTTAGGCTATTTAATTTTACGGCTGAAAATTGGCAAAAGAAAAAACACTTGTTTGTTAGCCGACTTTAAAAAAATTAGAACGTTATTAATTCGAGTGCATTCTTTTGTGCGTTTTACTTCAGGCCTCTTTTCTATGTGAATCGATTTTGATGGTTTTTTTAGGGACATGTTGTTCCCTTTTTTTAAAATCCGACCAGTACTTTGATAATGCAATTTAATTGACTTCGGCTACATCAATGTTATTTTGTTGAGGGCGTTTTCTTTTTTATTATTTTTGTTTTTTTTATAGTTGTATTATTCTTTAATAGCACTCGTTAATGTAGGGAAATCAAGGGTCTCCATGAGTTTTCGTTAAAGGTGACTTGATAGAGTATGACAAGCCCTAGCAACGGAAGAAAGAAAACCGTGAAATTTTACGAAATGTTAAAAACGGATGTTAAACCTTCGGATCAATAGAGATCCTTCGAAAGCAGGACAACAATGAGTTTAACGTTAATGGTACGTTCATTGTTATTTTACTTGTGTTACGGTGCGATCCATTATTGTCATTGTTCGACCGTTGCCAACCATGAAATGTCTTAATTGTTTAGACCACCTAACGTTAGTGGTATCTTAAGACAACAAGGTCAGTCAAGGTCAAGGTCTTAATTGTGTTGTATAGACTTCAGTCTCATTAAAAAACATTTCTTTTCGATATCGAGTCGAAAGAACCCGCTCCTCACTGCGACCACTTTTTTATTGCTTAGATCGGTGGACGAGCTCACAGCCCACCTGGTGTTAAGCGGTTACTGGAGCCCATAGACATCTACAACGTAAACGCGCCACCTACCTTGAGATATAAGTTCTGAGGTCTCAGTATAGTTACAACAGCTACCCCACGCTTCGAACCGAAACGCATTAC